GGTAAAAGTGGAGATATCTCTTCTCACCCCCTCCCCAACCTCAGCCATGACAGTAAAAGTACTGTACCTAAGAGGCGCTTAACACTAGTTCACGCGAGCACACCAATGAGAAGACTCAAATCCCCAACATTCTTTCTAACTGTTGATTGGATTTCGGGGACTGTCTCTTCTTCAACTCCCACTCTCCTAACAACCACCACCCAACGCCCCTCCCCCCCCTCCTCCTCCATTGATCTTGCAAGAATTTTGCTCCTTATCGTCGATATCCTGACCTCTCCTAGCCGCTAAGATCAGTTTGATCCGCTGAAGACCCCTGTCACGCGCGAGACATTCACATGGTCGTAAGCCCTAAACCACCCATTATTCAGCATTGCAGTTCTCTGCATAGAATTAGTACTGTACTTAGTACTTACTGTATTGTACCTTTCGATCTAGAGGTAGACACACAGACGCAGAGCCGCGTGGGTTGGCAGCAAAGACATGAGGCCCGGTTAATCAATCCGAAGTCCTGTATGGCATGAGGGGTGGGTGGATAGATGGCTTGAAGTTCATATTGATTGATGTTTAATATGTCTTTTATTATCCTATTGCCCGCATTCTGCGAGTAGGAATATTATTCTGTGAACTATATCCTTCCTCTTCCGGGAGATAGATTGGCCCATCCATCCATGATCCATCCAGACAATTCTCGATCGGAAGGTCTGTTTTTCCCTGGATCCTCACCTCCCCCCCACTTTCCCCCCTCCCCTCTCTCCTCCCCGTCGCCTCGTGGCGGCGGGAGACGATGAGGATGGTGATGACAATGGAGGGAGATGGGGACGAGCCAACAGGTGCAACTTCCACCAAGTGATTGATTGACTGAACCGCTGTAGACCGGGCGGTGGTGGGTGTGTGGTACGAGCTGCATACCGGCATCGTAATTTATTCCATGATGGCATGGTCTATTTGTTCCCCTTTTCCTTTTTTCCTCCCTATCCTCGTCTTCTCTTCTCTCCCAATCCCTGCAGTGCGCCTCAGCCGCAGACTTGGAAGGTGTTGGTCTGTTACCGGCTGCAATTTGCTGCTGTTGTTGTCATGACTAACTAACGGCAGATGAGACGATACACATTATTTGTCAACTATTCAGTAGTTCCTTTTTTTTTTTTTTTTTCTTAACTCTCTGCAGTGATGTTGATTATTCTCCGTATTGTCCAGTACATTGCCTTTCTCCCCCAGTCCCATTATTCTGTGTCTCTTCTTTTCTCTTGGAGTTGATATCTCCATTTCAATTTATGTACTACTTGTCGTATCGAGTCCACTTTCTTATCGCCCGTCGCCCGTTTCAATCCTTCCTTCCCCGTCTCCCGCACCGTTAATCATGTGTATTTCGATTGAAATTAGGGAATTGATCTGATCCTTTTGACTTTGGAAAATGAGGATGGGTCGATCCCGCCGAAAGTGGTTACCCACTCGTGCTGTCCCCAGCAAGCCAACATAGCCATGGTGGCTAACCCAGTATGATCACCCTGCAGAGAATGATCATCAAGAACTGCTTTTCTGCTCGCTTACCTCTGACTACTCGGGACTAGCCATTGATGCTGGTTACATTGGTCAAATATTCTCGTGAAAATCCGCATTTTCGTATTATTCTCGATCGTTTTGGGTCTGGATTTTTGGGATGTATACACATATTACTTTGATTTTTTTTTATTAATTCTGATTCTTTTTTTATTCCCATCAAATATCTTATTGTTTTTTTTTTCTAAATTTGAATTATTCTTTTATTTTCCGAACTGTCTTTCCCTCCCCTCTCCCCCAAGTTACCCGGCGATCTCTCGGTACCGTATGTGGTAGGTGAGAGGTAGACTTAGCCGCATTGGGGGAATCTTCTATATCTCCATCATCTCTCTGCATGTAACTATTCTCACTACCCTTCTCCCGGCCCTCTTCTAAGCCTTCCTTCTCCTCGTTCTCCATACCAGTTCGTTTCAGATCTTCACTTTTCTTTTTCTAATTCCGCATCTCACTGCCTCCCTCTTGATTTGCAGATGCGAGGCATTTTCCCGTCATCATCATCATTATCATCATAATCATCTACATCAAATCAATCAGCTCCTGATCTCACTCACCCATGCTTCTGGCCCGTTCCCCAATTTTGCTAGTATAGCTGCATCACAGCCCACCTTGCTCACGACCCCCAATCTCCACACCCATAGCTCACCTCCCGTTCCTGACAAGTCTGGGTCTGTTACAGAATGACCAGGGGATCATCTCCTTCAGGAACCAGAACTATATCTTCGACCCAGTCGCCGGCAGATTTCCTGTCTATCCTCACCTCTCCACACGACTCTATAAAGTCAATTACTCCTACACATCTCAAACACCAACAGCAACAGGAACAACCACTTCCTACCAACTCTTCTTCTATCACTCATACTACAACATCAATTGCTGGCCAGCAACATACAGTCACCATGCGCCGAAGCACTGCCCAATCGGAGATTCCTCTCCCCATCACATACACCCCAACGACGCATCGCATTAGCAAAGCGAAGAAGGGCAAACGCGTTCACGCCTGCGAGTATCCAGGGTGCAACAAAGTACGTAGACATGAATTTTCAGTCAATATAGAGTTCTCGACTAACATTCAAATTCAAGGTTTTCACCAGAGCAGAGCATAGAAGGTACTTGATGGCAATGTACCCGGTTCGACTCTTTCACGTGCTAATTTGCTTTGTGTAGACGGCATGAGTTGAACCACAACCCCGAGGCACTGTTTCGATGCGCCCACCTCAACTGCAAGAAAGCATTCCACCGTCCCGACTTGCTTTCCCGCCACATGGAAAGACAGTGAGTGATCTTCCATGCTAAATGTCACTGCCTGGCCGCTAATGCAAAACCCCCAGTGAGCTCGAGGCCCAGATGGACCACACCGCACAATGGCAGCGTCAGAACCGCACCTCTGTAATGCCCGAGGCCTATGTGCCCAAGTGTGCACCCGTCAACGCCCACCCGACTCCCTATCTCACCGTCTCCCAGCCCCAGAATGCCATGTCCGTAGGATCGCTCGTCGGGCCGGCTATCCACCCCGATTTCGCCAGCGATTGCAACTTGATGTGGAATGGAGTTGATTTGCAGTCGGCACCCCACACCCCGTTGTACCAGGGCCCTCACATTCACGAGTCGATCGAGGACAGTCGCTTCTACGCTACCCCGGACACATGCCCCTCTCCCGTCTCGGATGGCTCGCTCTCAGTTCACTCTTACGCTCGATCTTCCGTGGTGTCCACGCCTATGACCACAGTCGAACCCTACCCCGAGAGCATTATTGAGCACGACTTGACATCATCGCCTATTTCCATGCAATCGCGGATGGGCTGCTGGGACCAGCAGGACATCAGCCTGCCATCCATGAGCATGATGCCCATGCCCCTCACCGAAGGTCTTCTTCAACCGGTACGTTGTAACAAGCTTTACTTCGAAACCTTTCCGACTAACACCGGCCTGACAGTCCCTTCAATGCGCCTACTCCTCGCCGAGCTGGTCAACACATAGCCTGGGTTATGACGAGCATGTGCTACCACCCGCCGCCTTCCCCGCCAACATGGGCTGGAAGTCATGGACGATGTGAAAGCGCGCACGAGAAGCACGAAGTAACGACCACGATCCATTAGACCTCATCCTCGCCGGATCCTCAATAAGTAGGGGCTTATCAGCCATGCTTTGGAGGGGAAGATCGATTCAGCTTATAATCGAAATGTCTAATACGCAATCGACGCAGCGGACGCGGCTAATCTTACAATTCGAATTGGGAAAACAGAACGCGCAAAACAGAAAACCACCTCAAAAAAAGAGGGAACAGGAAAAAGCAACATCCACCCCATCAATTTCGAAACATCCATCCTGCAAAGGCTTCCCAAAGTTTCTTTCGTCGGAGAGAGGATTACACAAAATACTACACCCCACCCTCCGAGCTCGGGAAGGAGCTACCCTGTCTCCTTCTCCACCCACCTACCATCAGAGCTGCCTTTATTAGACTCGCATCGGCTTATAAAGTTACTGCACAGCATCTCCTTTGTCTCAATTTCCATTTTCTCATGCATGGTTTTTTTTTTCTCTTCTTCTTATTTACCACTTCTCTATATACCCATTTTTGTGCAAGGAACTTGATTTTTTACTTTGTATTCCGCAATCTGTTTCCCGATCTATTTCCTATGTCGATCAATGTTTTTCTCTGATGCCTTATTGAGTTATGCTATATCAAGTCTACATGCGCGGCGGTGTTCGATGTTCTTCTCTCTCGGAAATTTGTTTGGGTTTCTCTGGTCTCGGGGCCTGAACAGGCATTTCTTTTTTTTTTGGTACATGCATTGTTTTGTCTGCTTTGATTCTGCTTCGCTGTTGTTCATCGACAACTGTTTCTCTCCGGTCTGTACAAATACTCTGTATATCTAGCTATAGACTTTCCTATCTGGAATCGTACATATATCTCTCATTGCTTTTCTTCACATTGCTTTGCTTAGAGTATAATCGAGATTCTTGGTAAGCAGTGTTTGCCGAGTTTGATCACTGTTCGTCGATGCGAGTAAGCTGATAGACTGTATGGTCACTTCTGGGGAGGGGGTTTGTGACTGTAGCGATATGTCCTGGCTGGGCTCAAACTTGCGGCAGACGGTGTGCTTGGCTGTGCAGGCTTAGTAGAATAGTCACCATATTCTTGTTCGTAAAGTAGTGGATTTCTCTAAGATATGGCGATTAAGAACCGTTCCTCAGTCTATCTTTGACCCAGGCTTCATTGGTGTAGAGATTCAGTGGGGGGAGATCTAGACTTGTAAAACGAGGACGCGGTAGCTTTGCATGAAGCATGTAGCAAACGTGGTTCGGGCTCTGCTCACTGAATGAAGGCTAAGCGGCAGACACGTGTGTGCTACATCTGGGAAGTGGAATTCCAACTCGATCTACCTACTGATATACTTGTGCTAACAATTATCCCCCCCCCTCAGCTACTCCAGATCTTAGGACTAATGAATCTCCCCTTTCGCAAGGATGACTCTCCAACACCAGCCGCACCAACTACGATGTTCTCCCTTCTCCTCCCTAGTGAGATACTCTCCTGTTTCCCTCTCATCTTCATGCTCCGCCACACAAGCTCCTACTATAATTCTCTTCTTCGCCTTCTGCTTCACCCTCCCTCCGATCCCGATGATCTCCTGCCGGAAATACCCGGGTTCGTCCCCCTCGCGGTGGTCCCAGCTTTCGATGGTGGTGTGTCTGGGAGGACTATGCGCATGATTCCGATGCTCATAGTAATGACTGTAATCCGGCGAGCTACCCCCGGACGCCTCGTCCGCTTCGCATTCAACCTCGAGCTCAATCTCTTTGGCTGCAAGGCATTGTTCCCCTCGGCCGCACTTGACACCCTGACAGCCCTCGCCGATCCCTGTGCCTAGACCACCAAGATAGGTGCTGTAACGTGTACGCCAGGTCCAGACGCGACGGTAGGTGGTGTCATTGCTGCGGACACGGTGACCACATTGATGGCAGAGCCAGATCGCTTCATAACAATTGCATGGAGTCCGTTGAAACGCAATGGACGTTGGCGTTGGGTTTAGTGCTGATGATTCGTGAGCCATGGCAGACTGAGACGAAGGAGACAATGGATCAATCAAGTCAGTTAACGGGGCTGTCTGGCAGGTTGTGCAGAGACGGCGAATGCGGTTTTTATACATGCTGCTCGAGGGAGGCTTAATGGTGCAATTCTGCAGCGAGCTAACGTTAGTCCGTCAATGTTCAACTTGGAGACGGGAAGGCCTGAGCATACCCGGCACACCACTTTAGAGCATCGACGACACTCAGCAACCATATCTCGAGCGCATTTGGCAACCTTGCCAGTGGTTATTCGGCCCGATGCTCTCGCGTTCTGACTCAATATTTGCAGCACAGACTTGACGCTATCGGGAATTGCTGCTCCGCTGTCGAGCATGTCCGATACGGTCTCGATGTACTCATTCTCGCAGCGTAAAGTCTGTTTGATCAACAGCGAGCGGTATGGGGCCAGATTTGCGTGGAACTGGCGGCAGGTCTGGGAGAGGGCATGCAAGGTGTTCAGGTCGACTGCTCGAGCAATTTCCTTTATGATCCTGGATGGTGAGTCAGCACAACATCAGGAACCAGACACTTCAGTAGCCTGGCCCAAGAGTATTCCATACGGATAGCAGCTAAGAGCGGCCGAAAAAGCGTTCCGGTTGAGAGCATGCTGTTGATCTTCATGGTTGACTGTATGATTCTGTGACGGAGCGGCGGACTGATCATGAGCCGCAGGCACGTTCGTCGATGGATCCGGACCGACTGCCAGCAACTTGGACAAGGTGGGCTTTTGAGGTTCTAAGGAAGGATGCAGGAGTGTATCGGGGACGCCAGGGAAAGTATGCCTGTTGAACGCGTCGTGATCGTAGTCAACGAAGACCACCATTGTGACAATGACGGCAGAGGAACGGATGGTTAAGGAGGCGGGGGATCCACACGGCTCAAGCTCTATTATTCACCGGACAAGAATTCGCACAGTGAGCAGCCGGTTAGCTAAGTATACGTAGACTCTTTGCGTCTGGCAAAGATACAGCGATCTAGTTATAGCTGAAAGGGGATTTTCTGAGATCCATAAATGTTGGGAGTGGAATGACACGGCTGGGAAAGATCCAGCTCCGTTCTTCGGCGCGGGGCCAGCACGAGCTGGGCAATAGTTGAATAGTAGAAGTGGTTCGTCTCGGCGATCCAGAAGCCGTGGTGGTTCTTTTCTTTTCTTTTCTCTGGGTCTGATGGGGATGCCAACCGCAAAGACAGCGAGTGTTTTTATGAAACGTCTAAGGAAAAGAAAGAGGAGAGAAGAGGGTCAGGGTAGAGCAACGGAGATGAAATTGGATGCGATCATATCAGATCCTCCTCGCGCTTTCCATCTTATCATCGCTGCTTCCCCGACCGACTGACAACCCATTCGGGAAGGTCATGCGGCATCACGTGAGACTACAGTTGTTTGCAGACAAGACAAATAATCTCTCTTTGATGCTCATCCATGATAACTCCACCTTTGCACCACTGCATCTGTACTACAAACTGTCGGAGTATTAAAGAGTCATGGCTGTTGCAAGCCACTCACCACTCCCAGCTAAGTTATACTCCAACTCCAACTCTAACCAGCAGGATGTCCTCCGATAAGATAACGCCATCGCCCTCCGGCAACAGTTGGAGATTCCCCCTCACTCAGTAGTGGGGTAACTTTAGTTATCGTCGTCGTCGCGCTCTCTTCTTATCCTCGGCCGGGCCTATCTACCAATAGCCCTTCAACCAATATTGGAGTCATATCGCTTCCGCTAGCTTCTCCATCCTTCCTTTCCTCCGTATAACTTCGCTTGTTTCCCTCGCTTGCCTCTCCAAAGCCGACTGCCGCCCTTCCTCACCCCGCTCTCTCAATTGAATCAACGATCCCCCCCCTCCACAATGCCACTCAATTCTAAAGCCATCTATTCTCGTCTCAACGCCGACTTTGCCCCTTTTGCCAGTCGACGAAGTACTGTACATAGTACCAAAGGCATTGTGACTTGCACGCAACCTCTAGCTGCAGCTGCAGGTCAGAAAATCCTCAGCAATGGCGGCAACGCTGCTGTATGTCCTCGTCATCGCAAACTCTAACAGACATGCCCCTGCTAATCCTCTAGACAGGACGCCGCAATTGCCGTAGGTCAGTCATTGAATGTCGACGACTTCGTTCTCAAGCGAATACTAACATAGTCAACTGGTCACAGCCGCTGCATTGAACATAACTGAACCCTCTTCCACGGGCATTGGAGGGGACATGTTCTGCCTCTACTACGATGCCAAGACAAAGAAGGTCCATTCCATCAATGGCTCCGGCAGATACCCTGGCAGCGCGACGTTGGAAAAGGTGCGGGAGGATCTCAAACTAGGTCCCGGCGAGTCGGGGAAAATTCCCATGGATAGTGTCCTTGCAGCCACAACCCCTGGAGCTGCTGCAGGGTGGGTGGACACATTCGAGAAGTTTGGGAGTGGGAAGTTGACTTTGGAGGATGTTTTGCGTCCCGCAATTGAACTGGGCGAAGAGGGATTCCCTGTGTCTGAATTGGCCTCTTATTTCGTAAGTCACTCCATATTTGGCAATTTCGGCTTCGAGAGACGTTCTGAGATACGCTCAACCCGCTGTCTGGTCTAGCACCGATGGGAATAACCGTTCTAAATAGTGGCATGAAAGCGAGCACTTAATTCGCGCTGCCTCTCCCAACTTTAGAGAGATGCTCAAATCCGACCCCACGGCTAAAGACGGCTGCCGTAGCCCTCTGCCCGGTGAGATCTTGCGCAACCCAACCCTCGCACAAACATTCCGCTCCCTAGCTGCTCACGGCAAGAAGGGCTTCTACGAGGGTCGCATTGCCGCAGAGATCGTCAAAGTCGTCCAGGACCTGGGAGGCTACATGACACTAGACGACCTGAGGTACCACGCCGAGGTTGGAAGCCAAGAGACGGAAGCCATCTCCCTCAAATTCACGGGACAGGGTATTGTCTCCAAGCAGACTGACGGCACCACCGACGAAACCAATGAGGGCGTCGAGATCTGGGAGCACCCACCGAACGGCCAGGGCATAGTCGCTCTCATGGCCCTGGGCATCCTCGAGGAGCTCGAACGTACCGGCAAGATCCCCATCTTCAGTGAAGCCCAACACAACTCGGCCGAGTACCTTCATGCGCTCATCGAATCCCTCCGGATCGCCTTTGCCGACGCCTCCTGGTGGGTCACCGACCCGGACACCAACAAGATCCCCTCGCAGGACCTCATCTCCAAGGCCTATCTCGCCGAGCGGGCCAAATTGTTCAATCCGGACCGGGCCTCCGACATCATCGACCACGGCAGCCCGGCCCACAACCACTGCGACACGGTCTACTTCTCCGTCACCGACAGCGAGGGCAACGGCATCTCCTTCATCAACAGCAACTACGGCGGCTTCGGCACCTGCATCATCCCCCAGGGCTGCGGGTTCACGCTCCAGAACCGCGGGGCCAACTTCTCGCTCAACTCCGACCACCCGAACGTCCTGGCCCCGCGCAAGCGGTCCTACCACACCATCATCCCGGCCATGGTCACGAACGTCTCGGACGGATCGCTGCATTCCGTGTACGGCGTGATGGGCGGGTTCATGCAACCGCAGGGCCACGTGCAGGTGCTGCTCAACATGCTCGCCTTCGGCTATCACCCCCAGGCGGCGCTGGATTCCCCGCGCATCTGTATCGCGGCGGGCGAGCACATTTCCGGAAAGAGCGTCGACCGCGCGGTCTACGTGGAGGAGGGCATCTCCGAGGCGGCGATCGAGGGCCTGAGGTGTCTGGGCCACGAGGTGAAGGTCTTGGCCGGCTGGAAGAGGGGCATGTTTGGTCGGGGCCAGATCATCCGGTGCCACTATGATGAAGGAAAGCTGATCTACAGTGGTGGAAGTGATCTCAGGGGAGATGGGCTGGCGATTCCAATCTTGTAGTCGCGTATGTACATCCAGGGGCTTCAATGTGTATCACTGTACATCTATAACTACAGTTCGTTACGAGTCTCAACCTCAGTGTAAATTGAAACGATCTCAAAGGGTAAATGTTGCTTTTTTGGTAGAAAAAAGAAAACACATTTGCAAGGTAACCTGTCTTAACAAAAAGACGAGGAACTGAAAGTAGAGAGTAGAAGTATCGAGATACAATCGGAGTAGATGAAACCCGAAAAGGGGGGAGCTCGCTCATACAAGAGACATGAAGATGAAAAACAATTAACCACAAAAAGTCACGATGCCCCGTTCCCAAATGCTGTACCTATAAATGCAGGCTCAAAATGTATGAATCCCAAAAGAAAACAATCAAAGATGGGGGGGAAAGTTACAAGAAAGTAATGTATAGATGCAGGGGTTGAACATATGAGACGGTCGGTGATCATCGTGGAATATGAACTCGATGGAGGAAGGGGAGGAGGGAGGGGGGAGGGGAAGAGAGCAATGCACTCAGTGTGCAGCGACGGCGGCTTTGAAGAAGCCTTTCATCTTCGAAGCCCCGCTCGGAGGAGGCGTGGGGTCCCGGCGGTGTCTGTGATGGCGATGGCGAGACGACTCGGTGCTATCGCGCTGCTCGCCGCGATGATGACGCCGCTCGGTTTCTTCTTTCGCTGGCGGTGCCGCCGCCGCCGCCGCCGCCTCGGTCTGTTCGGCCAGCTTGCGAGCCCGGCGAGCCTCGCGGCGAGCACGATCCTCTTCGTCTTCGCGGCGGGAGGACTCGGTGGAGCGCTCACTCGTGCTCTTGCTTTCCTGCGAGGATCGATGACTGTGGGAATGAGTGGTTGAGGGGCGTCGCGAGCGGTCGTAAACATTGGCGGTCGCTTTGGCAGCGTTGACCATCAGAGGCGGTCGGTTGTCGGAGCCATCGGCCATGTATTTGAGGAAGAAGCGAGGCTTCGTGGTCGTGGATTCTGGGATGACGCGAGAGGAGGAGGAGCTGCTCTTGCGATCGCCCTCGTAGCTCTCAGAGTGGTTTGAGCTGCGGTGTCGCGGTCGGCTTGAGCTGCTGTCTTGCTCGCTTATAAGACGCTCCATTCTTTCCGATCGCTCAGACCGCTCGTGACGCTCGACTCTCTCAGCCCTCAAAGCCCGTTCGCGCTCCGCTTGCTCCTGTCGCTGTGCTCGTTCCGCTCTCTCGCGCCTTTCAGCTCGCTCAGGCTGCTCAGTACGTAAAGTCCGCTCATGTCGTTCATGTCGTTCAACGCGCTCAGATCTCTCAGGCCGTTCAGCCCGTTCTCGTTCAGCGCGTCTTGCACGCTCGCGTTCATGGGCACGGCGCTCTTTTTCGGCCCTCTCGGCCCTCTCGGCCAAGGCTGCCTTCTGTTTGGCCTTTTCTTCATGCTGTCGTCGGGCTTCCTTCATGGATTCCGCCCATCGACCAGTAAGACCGCTACCGCGTTGACTGTTCTGCCGCTGCATTGATCGATGTCCTTCGGATGAGCTCTTGGAGCGGTCTCGGTCTCGATCCCGCTCCAAATCGGGAGACCTCTTCTTCTTCCTTCGTGAACTGTGGGCGGCCGCTGCTGCCAACCCTGCCCCTGCCGCTGCCGCACCGGCTGCAGCCAAGGCTTCGTCATCGTGGTCGGCAGAGTCAATATCCTCCGACACATCCGTAGCCAGGGCCTCTTCGGGGACCCCTCTGTCGACACTTGGCTCTTCTGGGGTAGGCTCATATGCAGCAGGCTCCTCAGCAGGAGTAGGTACTTCGGCTGGAGAGCGCTCAAGAAGCTCAGGCTCAGAGGGAGAACGTTCGACCAAATCGGGTTCCGCAGGAGCACGTTCTTCGATAAATGCAGATTCTTCAGCGGGCGCAAGTGCAGGCTCTTCGACAGGTGCAACTTCTTCCGCCGCCGGCTCTTCGGCAGGAGCAGGTTCCTCAGCAGCAGGTTCCTCAGGAGCAGAATCTTCTGTAGGCGCTGGCTCCTCAGATACATGTTCTGCAGGACTGACCTCGACAATGACAGGCTCCTCAACAGGTGCGGGCTCCTCTACGGCGGTAGGCTCTTCGACATGCTCTTCAACGGGAGTAGCATCTTCGAGAGCAGGCTCCTCGGGAGTGGCGGGCTCGTCGGCGGGAATAGATCTCTCTAGAGCGGGCTCTTCACTAGCCGCAGGTTCCTCAGTGACGGTTTCTGCTGCAGGCTCTTCAGCAGCTTCCTCGATAACGGCCTCCTCGACAACTTCCTCAACCACGACCTCTTCAGCCTCGACCTCTTCAGCTTCGACCTCTTCAGCGACAGCTTCCTCAACGACGATCGGTTCATCCGCAGATGCAGGTTCTTCCGGTGCGGGCTCCTCGGCAGCAGGGGTTTTTTCGGCGGCGGGGGCTTCTTCAACGGCGGGAGCTTCCTCAGCGACAATCTCCTTAGCGACAGCTTCAGCAGCAGCTGGTTCCTCAGCGGCGGGAGCTTCTTCAGCGGCGGGGGCTTCTTCAGCGGCGGGGGCTTCTTCAGCGGCGGGGGCTTCCTCAGCAGCGGGGGCTTCCTCAGCAGCGGGGGCTTCCTCAGCAGCGGGGGCTTCCTCAGCGGCGGGGGCTTCCTCAGCGGCGGGGGCTTCCTCAGCAGCAGGGGCTTTCTCGGCGGCTGGTTCTTCAGCGACAACCTCCTTAGCAACAGCTTCTTCGGCAGGAGTTTCTTCTGGAGCAGCAGTCGGTTCTTCAGCCGCAGCCGGTTCCTCAGCAGTGGGAGCTTCTTCAGCAGCAGGAGTCTCAGCAGCGGGCTCTTCAGCTGGAGCAGATTCTTCTACAATAGCCTTATCTTCGGCAGGCGCCGTTTCTTCGGCAGCCACGTCATCGGCTGTTGCAGGCTCCTCAACAGCAGGCTCCTCTTTCGACGCAGCTTCACCTGCAGGGTCTTCCGCAGGTGCAGCTTCGGCCGCCGCCTCTGCCTCCGCGGGTGTTTCCTCGGCCGGCTTTTCGTCCGTGGATTCTTCGACTGCCGCTTCCGTCACTTCTGTAGACTCTTCTGGCGTAGCTGGTGCTTCATCCTGAGCATCTTTTGTTGCATCAGCAGCAGGTTCATCGGCCGCGGTCTCTGCGGCAGGTGCCTCGGCCTCGGCAATGTCTTCGCCTGTACCCTTTTCCTCAACAACTTCTCCTGAAGTAGCTTCTTCGGGCGCATCAGTGGGAGCTGGAGGGCTGGGGTCTGCCTCTGCCTCTGCCTCTGCCACGGGTTCTTGGGTTGCTGCAGGTGACTCAATCTCTTCTGGAGTGGGACCTGCTTCTTCGGGCGCTTCAACTGGTGCAGATTCTTCTGCCTTTGTAGCGTCCCCCTCAGGTTCGGCGGCAGCTGCATCTGCTGTGACCTCCTCTTTTGTCTCTGCTGGCGCTCCCTCCCCTGCCTGCTCTGCGGCCTCTAGCGCTTCTTCCTTGACGGGCTCGGCCTTTGCCTCCTCCGCAGCCTCCCCTACAACGGCCTCAGTGGTTGAAGGCTCGGCACCGTCAGCAGGAGCTTCTGACTGAGCCTCGGCCACCTTCGGTTCCTCCTCCGGTTTGGCTTCTGTGGCTGAGGTGTCATTAATTGCATCACTATTGTCATTCGCACCTGCATTGTCGTCACCGGGAATATCAGCATTCGTATCGGGCGGGACCTCTTCTGTCGATGGGCCGTCTATATAGGGGTCAGTTGTCGCGTCGAAGTCAACAATGTCAATGTTCAGATCAATGAGGTGTTCTGTACCGACTGCTGGTGTCTCTTCTTCCGCTGTGGTAGCTTCAACCGCCTGCTTTTCGGCTTCGACTTTGTCTTCTTCGGCGGAGGGGTCGCAGGCCGGAAAGTCTTCCTCTAGGTGTAATGTTAGCTGACTTAGTGAACTGATCTTCTTTGTAGGCATACCAGTGCTGGGGGGAGGCTCAGTAGTCTCCTCCGCTGGTGCCGGTGGACTGTCGGCTGCGTCGGGGGCGGCGGGCTCTGGCTCTACGTCTTCGGGTGCGTCCTCTTTGGGTGCGTCATCGGCTGGTGTGGCGTCTTCACCTGCTGGTGTGCTATCGTCCGCGTCCGTTGCGGGTGCATCTGGCGCGGGAGCAGGTGTCTCACTGTCCTCTTTGGGTGCCGCATCGGTGTCGTCGACAGCATCAGCAGCGATTTCGGCGGGCTCGGAAGGTGGTGTGCTTGTCTCAGACGTTTCTGTATGGATACTTAGTAAAACAAGAAAGCAATTGATGGGACATGATAGAGAGGGTGAGGCAAAGGTAGGCCAATACATACCTCCAGAATCGGGCGACGATGAACCATCAGTTGAGGTGCTATCAGATCCTTCTTCCTGGGCAGCACTGTCGGAAGGTTGGCCATCGACGGGTTTGTTGTTCTCCTGGTCCTTAGCCGGGGTCAGACCATCATCGGACGAGGTAGCAGCAACAGAATAATAATGAAATTGCATGGTTTGACGGTCGAAGGTCTGGTAATGACGCTCGAGTGTCTGATGGTACTCAAACTTGGGAAGCTCAGCATACTGGATCGATGGTTGCTCCATTCCCAATCACTTCGGCCACCGTCTCCGGGGCGGGTTCAGCTAGGGAAGAAGCTTGCTCGTTGGAATTTGGATTGTCGTTTATCGGTAGTCGGTTCTTGTTGTTGTTGTTGTTCTTCTTTTTGTTGTTGATATTCTTCTTCTTACCCATTGCATCGGATCAGTGGCGAGTGTTACTGAGCTATGTTAGACTCCAGCTGACTTTGTGAGGGAGGGAGAGGGGGGTATAAATTTTCATTGAAGAACTATGACATACTCCCGTCGGGTTCTAGATAGGGCGAAAATGGACAAGGGGGGAAGAGACGAATGAACGAAGCACCAAAAATAGGGGCAATGCAAGAAGCACAGGATGTGAAACGGAGGGGGGGAATATGTAAAATGTCAGGTCAAAGGCTCAAAAGCAAACCCTGTTGAATTAGGTTAGAGGGCCTGGAAAGGGCGAGTTGAGTGACCAAAGCGACAAAGGCCCGAATGTACCGATACGCCAACGAGATGAGGGCTTCATTCTGGATTCAATGCGAGGCAACGTATCGTAGCGAATCCACTTCCCGGTGGTATAGAACATTGTTGAGCAATACTTTTCGGGCTTGGGGCTGGGGACGTCATGAACGAACTGCCCAACGGCATCTCTTCTGATTGGACCACGTCTCACGGGCCCAATGGCCCTGGCGGACGGGGACATCGACAGAGGGTCTTTTTCCGGAAGCATCACTGGGGCAGGGGGGGGGGAAGCCGGAGGGCTGCCATCTGCAAAAGTCGCAGTAGTGGTGGCGGGGAGTGGGTGCGCCGTGCAGTCCGGATAGAATGCAAGCTGGATAGTCGGGAGATGGGAGATGGGTGGTGCTTCGTTGAGAGAGTCCTTAGCGTGGTGGGGGTGGTGCCACAGCTCCATCGGGACCCTCTGATTGTTGTTGTTCCCGAGCCTGGTTAACTCTTTACCTTTTCGTTTTCCTTGATTCTTTTTGCCTTGTCTTTGCTCTCTCACCCGCTTAGTTGATGATCATTTGAGGTCGATCATCAAAGCAGAACTGCAAGTTGATGCAGTTGGAAGGGAGTTTCTCCGTGTGGAGAAGGGAAAAACAAAGCATAGGGTCAAACCGGCAGCTTTAGTTCAGGATGCAGGGTGAACACGGATCCATGCCAGGTTAAGTGATATGACCAGCCAATGAAGGCAACATAAAGTCGTTGCAGGCAAGCAATCGAGGGCGAATAATAGCTGAAGACGTGAATGACTCCGGTTACTCGGAAATTGATTGACTGCGACCACTGCCAATATCGACTTTCGTACTGGCATTAGCATTAGCGCCTGTGGAAGCAGTTGTGGATTCCTGCCCAACAATTGCGTGGATAGGGCAATAGATTGGATGCATTTCTTTGTATGGATTTGTATGGAGAGGGGGTCTTTAGAGACTGGGCCCCATGTCAATTCGAGGCGACATGGGATAGGGAATTTGTGTGTACTGTAACTGGGGGTGGTGAAGTGGGTGCATGCGATAACTCATGGCCAGGCCCATTCCCTGATCAGTGCACTCTGTACGGAGTACTGTACACAGAGTATCTCCTGGTATACTTGGGACATCTGAAGAGGGCGATCGATCATGAGCAGAACACATCACTGTCATCATCTGAGATCATCATCGAGATTTCAGCTGTGAGGGATCTGTTGGGAGACAATGAGTGAAGGCCACATTGCACTGTGCTCTGGTACCTGATAGAGGCACGGCCAACACCTCAGGGGAGGCGATTGTTGTGGCAGCTGTGAAAGAAGGGGAGAGAAGAGGAAGATCCGTCTGAATGCGAATCCCCACCGGCCAAGTCAGCAGTTCTGTACCTACACAGTAGGTACGGAGTACCTACTTACGAGTAGTTACTGCACCCGCCCGCAGATCACTGGACTGCCTGACCAGGAATAGCGGGCTTGCCTGTTTAGGCTCAGTGCCTGGCCTCGGCCTCAGGCTGTTTCCACTGCATCTTTCCATCTTTCCATCCTTAAGTTCTTGCTACACAACCACACCACCAGGGCACCGCATCAAATGACACGGACCAGGGGTTCGATATTCCCTTTTCTTTTTCCAGCTGACAATTATTCTCCGAATTCTGCAGCATTCTGGCACCCATTGATCTGAGAAATATCCATCTCACGAGCAGGAACAGAAAAATAATGCTCTAGGACTGCCAGACCGTCGTCGCACCCGCAGCGAAGTGAGGCGCGCCGGTCTGCTGTTTTGGCAGCCTGTGAGTGGCCGCCATAGCATCCACCACCACCACTAATCTTCCCCCTCTCCCCCTCGGGGACCCATTGGAATTATTGAGGAGACAGACAACCTCAAAGATTGATTATCTATGCTGAAGATGGAGAAAAGAGAAAACTCGCTAACTAAGCTAGCCTCAATCCAAGTTCGCTCTCGAAAAGTCCGAAACGAAACCAAATTTTCCCCGTACGTAAATCTGTGGGGACTACAGAGTATCGCTGCAGACTTCGCTGCCCACCTTGCGTTGAGCACTGAGTACTGAGTACTGAGCATTTCGTCCTCTCCATCACCAATTTGACAGCTTCTGCACACAAGTCCCTGCTTAGGGCGCTTGGACGAAGCAGAAAAGAGAGGAGTATCATAGTGCATACCACAACAATCTCCCACTCCCCCTCTTGACACGTCCTCCACGTATATCAATTCCAATCAGACAAGACTATCGGGCCTCCCGATGGGCGATGATGGACAAAGTCTCAGAAGCAACGAGGAAGCGCCCCCCTTCCCCCCCCCTACTATCTAGATCTTTCTATGCATCTCATCGGAGGAGGTAAAGGAAGTCACGATCTCATTCTGCTTGCCAGCAAGCGAGAACGGCCAACAAAAAACAATCCCCTCTCCTCCAGTCGCCAACCAGATTTCTTCCAATTCATTCCCCCTTCTTCTGCTGCAGTTGCGCGTGCGTCACCCAACCCACGGCCCAAAAGACTCCCTGCTGTCACACTATACCACTCATTGTGAAAGGTAAGTGTCTTCCAGATCTAATGAGGAGAATCGGCGGGTGGGAGGGAGTGGGGTGGTCAAACGAGGGAGTCGCTGCACCAAATCGTGTTGCAGGAAACGTAGTATGTATATTGCCCTCTCCGTCCCTTACAAACAAAGTGTATGATTGTCCAGTAAGCCAGCCTATCCATTGAGCCACACAGTGGTCATCCCACCACCACCACCACCAAGGAAGGCAAACAAAGACAAAGCAAGAGGGAGGGAGGTCAAATGCAGCGGGCCGAAGAGCCCGGGTTTTGCCTCTTTCCATAGTTACTGTGTAGTAAATCCCCGGTAATTACTACACTGTACGTACTGTACTCAGCGTGGCCAGAGTTATCGTCACGAGATTTAATCCTTGCCGATTATCATCTGGAATTTTGAGTAAGATGGCTTTTTTTTCCACTGGGCAACTTATGCAAGTTGCCGCTTGGGACCCGAACAGATGATGAAAAAATCAGTTCATGCTTCCAAAAGGCTTCAGTTTACATCTACTTCTCTTTTTCTCTCAAGCTTCTTGTCGACAAATCATTATTTCAACCTCAGATTTTCCGCCGCTGCTTTGTCTTCATACTTGCTGCTGTCCTACCTGAGCTTTTATTTTTTTTTTTATTTTGGGCTCGCAAGGAGCAACGCAGAGCGGCTAGGGCAGACCGATAAATGTCCCTACCATTAACTACAGTATGTTGATGGTAAAAATAGTTTCCGAGACGTTGGGAGTACTGGGCAATGTCTGACTGCGCTTACATCTCTAACGGTCATTCATGCAAGAAGTGTTAAAATAAGGTATCTTTTGGTCGCTGAGCTCGGAAAGGCTATTAGGCTGCTCACATGAAACATGCACTGCACTGTACATGAGGCTGTTGATGATCACCGCCTACCTCTAGCAGCCACTGGCATCACAATCGGGTTCAGCTGCATGCTTGACACCGATGACATCGACTACTTTATCAGTCTGACAGTATATGTATTTGAGTCATCTGTATGCCGTCATCACTAACTCTAAAAATAACATGACCATGCGTCGGGTATCATGAAGCTGTGCAAGCTTCCTGGAATATGCTGTAGTGCTCGGCCAGACTGATACCTTTTCTGTAGCGCCGAGGTTTGGGCCTAGACTCAGCTTCACGCAGGGATTCAAACCGAGAATCGAATGCATGCATTGTGATATTTACCTGGGAAAGCCTCCTCTCGACGTCAGATTCTCATGTCAGTGTGTGACAGAGTGCGCCGACAGAAACCCGAGATCTTGACTTGGATACCCAAAGCGACGCCACAGCCCTCGGTCGAGTATAAAAGATGCTCACAGCCTTCTCATATAAGATTTCATTTTCTGAGCGCGTCCATGGATTTCCTCCATCGGGGTCCGTAGATCCTCATCACAAAGAGGACAGAACTGCTCGCAAAAGCGACTAGTCCGAGGATGGTGAAAAGCCACCCATTGCCGATGGCATCTATGATCGGCGCAGTGACCACAGAGCCCACACACGAGAAGATGTTGCGCATGAAATTGTTGAGTGCAACTCCTGCAGATGACTTCTTGGGCATGAACTCGGTCAACATCGTCGTTGCCATACCGAAGATCAGCATGGAGCCGACACCGAAGAAAAAGTTCGCAATCATCTGCCCGGTACAGTTAGTGAGGCTTCAGAATGTGTAAATACAGGGACAACAAGAATTCTTCGATGGTAGTTGACAGCTTTGAGGGCTTGGAACGTACCGGTGCCAGCCAAAAAACGCCCCGATCCGCACACCAGCCATACCATATCAGCCCGGCAGGGTAAAGAAAAGCTCCAAGCCAGGCGTTCTCGCGCATGCGGTCTTCAGGATGGTATATCAGCTTGCCATTTTCGTCGTACCGTTTGGCTTTCTTGGCCTCCCGTTGCATGATGCTGTCCATCCAACGGCCCCCGAAGGTACTGGCCACGACGTAACCCAGTGAGTTTGGAATATATAGCAAGCCGACGATGATTGTAGTGAAATTGTACGGGCTACCTCCGAACGTGTGTTCAACGCTAACGTTGAGTACATATAGAGAGCCGAACGTGATGCTGGCATAGTAGACCGTGAGCAGAACCGGGGGATACCGCAGATAGAGAATAATCTTCAGAGGATCCAAGAGTACCATCTTGAGATACTTGAGCCATTTGGTTGTAACGTGAATGACTTGCCGAGATGAGACACGACTCAATTGACGATCTATCGGTTCCATTTGTTCTTCCTTGAGTTGTCTTACCTGACCAGAGACGGCCAGGGTTTCAGGAAGTGCAAGAAAGATGAGGATGACAGTGATAGCTCCCCAAACTGCCAAAAACCACAAAGTACTTCTCCACCCCCATCGCTCAGCTAGAGCCCCACCAACAATGGGAGCTATCAATGGCCCGCACAGTGGCCCCAGATAGAAGATGTTCATGGCACGCCCTCTTTCCCTTGGCTCCCAAAGATCGGCAATAGTTCCCGCGCCGACTGCTTGAACCGAGGCAGAAGCACCTCCACTCAGAAGTCGCAAGACAATTAGCATAGCGATTGAGCTAGAGATGGCACACAATGAGTTGAATATGACGAAAAGAGTGAAAGAGACAAGATATATTGTTCGTCGTCCAAGCCTTTCGCTAAACGAAGACCACCACAGTGGAAAGATAGACATGCTAAGCATGTATAATGAGATTGACAGGTTTGTGACGGTAGTCGAGGTACCTAGTTCTTTTGACACCTGAGACAAGGAGGCTTTGCCCAGTGGAGGCACAGATTAGGATGTGCTTGGTGTCAGGGGACATGAATAGACTCACGGAAGAAGATCGAGCTGCCCATGGGAGCTGCAGCCCCGGCCACTGCAACTATGAATGTGATGAACCATTTCGTCTTTCGAGGATAGACTTTGGGGTCTACCACCTCCGCCAGCAGCGTAAGCTGCCCAAAGAGCCCCCTACGCTCCAGTCGGGGTACCACAACTGGCTCCTCTTGCTCTTCGTCAGAAGTGTGAGTCGAAGAAGCACGGTCTTCCTCATCTTTACCTTCTATCACCGGAGAGCTGTCGGCTTTCTGAGGCGCAGGCTTATTGTCAATGTGTGTCTCGATGATATTTTTGGACGATACGACGTCGCGGTGAGTCTCGCTGGTAACCGCAGGGCTTTCGACCTCGTCTTTGTGAATGCTCTTGTCTGCCGCCATTACCCATAGAGACATGTAGAGCGGAAATTGGGTGGTTTATTGACATCCGAGCACGACTTCTCAGAGATGCGAGTAGCGATGTACGGCTTAGCGAGCAGCGAAGCTATTTATACTGGCTTGTCTGATTCTTCCCTGGATCTTAATGAAAGGCAGGGCGAGAATTATGTTCTAATGCCAGGATGGAAGATAACAGAGACGAAAAGGCCGAGCAAGCGAAGAGAATCACGCATGCGGCCTTCAGTGGGGATAGTGTGACTAGAACTTGAGTTGAAATGATGCCTGGCTAATATGTTGAAGCTCGCTGGCCATTGTCGAGCTGCGTAAGAGCAGATCTTTGTCTTAAATATGCATGGCCGATAAGGGAAGACGAGAAGAAGCAAAAGGAATATTGTGCAGAAATAGTTTTGGGAACAACGGGGAAAAACCTGAAAGACTTTAGAGGAGGAGGAGGAGAAGGAGGTGTTGGTCGGTTAGTCTCTTCCAATTGTTGTGCACTCCATATCTCGCATGGGTCCCAAACAGGCAGGCGATGGCCTTCGCCGTCGTCGCCCGCGTGGACCGTCCCTCTTCCCCCCACTTTACTTTCCTTTCTTCTTTCCAAGGGATTTATCGTTATCGATTTGGCGATTGTGTGCTTCATCACTGGGATTCCGAATGAGTCCAACAAAGTCTACAGTAGGAGTGTGTAGCAACAGTGAACTAACCATCCCATTCCGCAAATCAAGTCCTAATCTAGTAGGGCCAGGCAAGCCAAGGGCCGATGCCGTTCCATCCGAGGGCTCCAGTCGGAAGGCTTGTTGAGCGGGCATTGCCGCCCTCCATCCAAACAAGAAACTTGCCGAGGTCAATGCTCACTTGACTTGGAGAGTGGGGAGCTGGTTTCTTATCCGAGTCTCTCGGTAGAACTGTGCAATACATACCTAACCAGTTGCCAGTCTCGTGAGTGGTCGCCATTGCTGCTCCAGGTCATGGTCGCCGCGTCGCCAGAAGAGATTCATTTCTTCTCCTCATCATTGAGCATACGACGAACGCCATGAGACTCTCAACTGTACTCACTTGAATCTAGGTGCAGCTCACTATAGTAGAAATATCATAGGAGTTGCTTCTCCGATGACGAGAGCAAGCTCTCGAGCAATAACAGTGGTGCATTGGTCAGCCTCTGGAGTCTGAGCTTGACTCCACCACGCTTGCAAGACATTTAAGCTTAAAGTCATTGACAAAAACGTCTGGGGTGAGTATGCCGATTGTTCAGACTGCATTCAGCCGGGTTGACTCTTGTGGATACTGTGACTCGGATCCGCCGGTCCAAGTTGCCCCACGCCCACCAGCAGTTCGAACCGATACTTGATCGAACACCCTGCCTGCCTATGCTTTGGAGCACGCATACACGCAAAGGGCTGATATCGTCATAAATCTCGAAGTGTGCCATTGAATCTACCACCTCCATATCTCGAAACGCCCTTTTGTCTTCGTACAGTCTGCGAAATCACAAGCAAGATGATGGATTCAGACAAGGCCACCATGCAACGGAAAGTCAGGGACACGTTAGCCAAGTATCAAGGGGATGACTATGTTGACGGCTGGGCTGAGCTCTGGGATAAGAACGAAAATTTGCCTTGGGACAAGGGTATTCCTAATCCCGCATTGGAAGATACCCTCATTCAGCAGCGCGCGACCGTCGGAGGCCCAATTGCCACGGATGCACAGGGAGCAACCTACAGAAAGAAAGCATTGGTTCCCGGCTGTGGCAGAGGAGTGGATGTGCTTCTTCTTGCGAGCTTTGGCTACGATGCCTATGGACTGGAGTATAGCGATGCTGCAGTCAATATTTGTGAGAGCGAGGCGGCTCAGAATGGAGACAAGTACCCTGTCCGAGATGCTGGAATAGGTCGAGGAAAAATCGCTTTCGTGCAAGGCGACTTTTTCAAGAATGACTGGTTGGAGAGTCTACAACTACCGCTTAACTGCTTTGACTTGATATACGATTATACGGTAAGGCCACTCAGCTTGATCCCTGTTTTACGTTTCTCGTGTCTTCGCCCATGATAGCCAGAATCTGGGCTTACACGTATCTACAGTTCTTCTGCGCACTAAATCCAACGATGCGACCAAATTGGGCTTTGCGACACACCCAGCTTCTGGCGCCTTCGCCGCGCGGCAATCTAATCTGCTTAGAGTTTCCAAGGCACAAGGACCCGACGCAGCAGGGACCCCCTTGGGGAGTCTCATCGGAGGCCTACATGGAGCATTTGAGTCACCCGGGTGAACAGATCCCGTATGACGCTCAGGGTCGATGCAAGATGGATCCTCTTCGCGAGCCAAGCGAGCATGGTCTCGAGCGCGTGGCGTACTTTCAGCCAGCCCAGACACATGAGGGTGGCAAGGACAGCAACGGGGTGGTTCAAGATCGAGTCTCCATATGGCGCCATCGGTAGTGCGCTTGTGGCTGGAACTGGAGACGGATACACATCATCATGAATCAGTCAATCCCCTGATGGATCCACCGGTCTGATTCGCTCAAATTGACTCTCGCTTCTGCTGCTTTTCTCTTTCTCTCTCTCTATGACTGCTTTGATAGTGCATTGTAATGCTCCCCAAGCCCATATGTATGCCTGTAGTATGCCAGCCAGATGGCCCGTTTACTTCTCGCTTCGTCATCAAGTCCGTCAATATCACCCGGCTCTATCTTCTCGATCCTCCCGTCGCCTTGTATAACATTGATCTCGACGCCGTATGCCCTCGCCAGCGCCTGCAGTTCGAGCTGTCCACCCCACTCGGCAGTCAGCTTGATCTTCCTGGTGTACTGATCCAGCGGCTCCTCCATGAACGCCTCGAAGTCATCCTTATGTTCCGCAATGAAGTCCGCGGCCACCGCCCGGACCGCCCGGTACCCATCGTGCTTCGGGAAAGTGACCGTTTCCACACGCGACTGGGTGGGAGCCTGGAGAACCATCCTCTTGGGATCCGGCCTGAGCCCCAGACCCATCTCGTCCAATTGACTCGCAATCGCGGAGTACAGACAATGTCCGTCCGGGTTGATCTCGATCTCCTTCAGCTGCAAGCGCTTGAACACGGCATCCATCACCTCCTTCTCGTTGCCCCGGTGGTCGGTCTGGTTCGCAGCCTCCTCCGCTGCGATCGCCGACTGGGCCGCTTGCTCCGCGGCACGACGCGCGAGACGGGCCTTTTGACGGTTCGGTTTCTTGGGGCGCGGGCCGCCGGAGGGCTGCGGGGTGTCCGCCGTGGTGGTGGCGGTGGTGCTACTGCTGTTGCTGCTTGGGGGCGTCGACGTCGTCGTCGTTGTGGTTGTGGAGGCCGAGGGATCATCTGCAGAATTGTTGACGTCGTCTTTGCTCGTCACTTCGTCACCATCATCGTCGGACTTGCTGTCGTTGAGGCTGAGGTCCTCGAGACCACCGTCCACGGGCTCGCCGCTCAACTCCGCAATCTGTGCCTGTTGTCGCTCCGTGAGCTCCCGCTGCAGTCGATCGCATTCATCGTTGATCCCTTTGCGCGTTTTCTTGGTGGCGGACTTTTTCTTCTGGGTGATTTTCGCTTGCAGGTCTTTCTGTTCCTTGCGGTGTCGGGCTTGCAGCTCCTCCATGGCTGCAGGGTTGGCTGTATTGGTTGCTGTGGTATACAAGGAGATATAAGGATGAAAAAAAAAAATCCCCAATTGGATACGTATTGGTTCAGATACTCCAAGGAAAATATGCAAGAAGAACGTGGATAAATGGAGGGTATAGGTCCCAAAGGTGGGCTGCTGGACTTTTGCTGGATAACAAACACACAGGGTGGAATTGCCCCGCCACTGCAGTGCTCACTTTTTGCGGTCCTCCGTCCTTCCGGTCTAGAGATCGACGCCTCAGGCATGTATATCTCTAGACCGGAGCTTACAACCTCAGGCACCAGGCATCACTGTAGGTACAAAGACTACCACGGATTCTTAAAATGATCCTTTGAGAAGTCGGTATACTTCCTCGAGATATTAGGATGTAACCAGAAACCAAAGAAACAGTGCTTCACCCTTCCAACTGTGCCCTTGTTCTTTCTTAGTTCGGATTGCCTCGGCATCTTGTGCCAAGCCGCTCAGTAATCGCTCGGCCGTCGGTTAGTTTACCCCGACATCTTCTCTCCGCATTGTATAAGGAGCTTCATCTGGCACCGCTCGCGAGTTCGACGCTTTAACGTGAACCATTTCTTCAGCAGGTACACTACATCTATAGCTCTATCATCTATAAATAGAGACCCTGAAGACTCGAAAGTGAGCCCATCATGGACGTCCAGAAACTCTTCGATGTGAAGGTTAGTCGCATTGTTGCGCAAAATCTAGCGGCACACACCCCCTTTTTCCAGTTGAGTATCATGAACGCTAAGCAAGCTATCAGGGCAAAGTAGTGCTGGTCACTGGCGGAGCCAAAGGCATTGGCCGCATGATCTCCGAGGGATATGTAGCGAACGGTGCCACCGTCTATATCTCCTCGCGCGATGCGAAGGCCTGCGAGAAGGCCGCCAGCGAGCTCAATGCGCTCGGCAAGGGCAAGGCCTATGCTATTCCCGCCAATTTTTACGAAGAGGAAGATCTCAAGAAATTGGCAGAAGAGCTGGCCAAGCGCGAGAGTAGTGAGTGCTGCGTCTTTTCATTCGGTCCCCCTCACGAGAGGGCTGGCAGTTGAAGTGGGTGGCAAGAGTCATGAAGCGCTTACCTGATTGTTACCAGAGCTTCACATTCTCGTCAACAACTCGGGATCGAACTGGGGTGCCCCATATGATGAATACCCATCTTCCGCCTGGATACGGGTCCTCACTCTCAATCTCCACAGGGTGTTCGACCTCACCAAGCTTCTCACGCCCTTGCTCGAGAAGGCTGCTGCGCCGGGCGACCCGGCTCGGGTCATCAACATTGGCAGTATCGACGGGTTGAGGGTCCCGGCGCTGGAGACCTTTGCTTACAGCGCTAGTAAAGCTGGTTTGCATCATCTGAGCCGAGTCTTGGCTAATCATCTTGGAAGGAGGAATATCACGTATGTTGCGGCCCTCGCTGTCTGGTTGTCGATGAGAGTTGAGCTAATATGGCCGTCTTTTCTGGCAGGTCGAATACCCTGGCTTGTGGTCCTTTCCAGAGTAAAATGATGGCCGCCACCTTGGAGGCGCATCGTGAGACCATTGAGGGAAATATCCCATTGGGTCGTATCGGAAGTCCGGAAGATGTGGCAGGGGCTTGTCTGTTCCTGGGGAGCCGGGCTGGTGCATACGTGAACGGAGCGACTATCACTGTTGACGGTGGTAGCTCTGTTGCTGCTAGGCTGTAATCAGAGCTGTCAGCGATTCGAAGCATTCGAGACATTAGCCTATGGTCATTTCAGAGATAAATTAACATGAAGGTTAATCAAGGCTCCGACTTACCGGTGGGACTCACTCTGAGTTCGTAGATTGCGAGCCTGTACCACCTGATGAACTAACATGACCCATACCAGTACGGGGAGATGTGTCATTTTTGAGCATTGTAGGCAATAGTGTGTGTGTTGAGGCGCCACATTGTTGAGGCTAATAACACACTCAACATCAGCTGACCAAAGTTACTGATATGTCACTGCAGAACTTGGAGCCATACGTATCACATTGATTATCTTGATCTTCTGTATGCATGTAATCTACCGGTACTTGGTCGTAAGGCAAAGCATGTTACTCATCGGCAACATATCATATTGCCTGTCATCGGTCGGAATGTTTACAGTCAGATGTACTCCGTACATGCGCACAATGTTTCGAGAATGATTCTAGGGGTTTATCGCGACTTACGGCCGGAAGGGACGATCTCACTCCGCTCAGCTCTGGCTTCATCCTTCCATAAACAGCAATGAGCGAATGTCTCCACGATGACATTGAGTTGTCTGATCCCTGAGAACAGAACCTCACGGATTACAGAATCCTGACAAAGGATAACGTCTTCGTCCAACCTTCACCCAGCTTGAAAAAGTCCTGGGTAAGAGGCAGGTCGGTCCGTGGCCAGTACATAAAGTCATCGACAGCTGATAGTAAGCGCGCCGAGCACGATAGTCTAGACACTAACGACCCGAGACTCTGCAACAGAGTTACTACCATGAATATTGGGTTGGAAACCCGGGCCAGAACAGCTCAACTTCGGCAAGTGATACAATAATTTGTGTCCTTGGCAGATTGTGACTCTGCACGCCGGCATTGCGAATACTTTTGGGCGTTGCCGAGACCGCGCAGTCTTTCTCAACCTTATGCCGGGACCGAAGCCCTGCCATGGCATTCAATGATCCTTAACAATTGTCACTGCATCGTGCATGGCTTTCGGAATTGCGTTAGGTATTCATCAAGGGTTGCCAGCCACTTGTTTAACAACAATATTTGAGCTACCCAACGACGCTCCCCCCGCAGTTCGAGGACAGCAGGACTCAACCTCCGTGTGTAACAAAACGGAGTGATGATGATTCGACCGTGCTACCAAACCATGGATTGTCTTAGCATCTCGATCATGTCGATCTTACTTCCCCCGTGATCAATTCGATTGAGAAACGCTAATCCAATGCTAAGTCGGATCTGGTACGACCGCAGCAATGTGCATGGACCAAATCGATAAAACAAATACAGTACATGATGCAGGAGGGGGGAAAAGACAAGATAACAAGCAAGCATCGTACCCAAACGGTAGAATTGGTCTTCAAGCTTGATTCAATTACTTCTTTTGGGCTTCCTTGCTTCTCTGTGGCTCTGTCATGTGCTCTTTTATGGCTCTCTTTTTGTGTACAGGTGGTGGGTGAAACGCGTCCACCTCACCTTACTGTACTGTGCCTCGATTATCAGAGACACATTTGTGGTTCCCCGCCGCCGATTGCTCTCTTATCGCACCGCTATCCAACGCCACGTCAAGGACGCAGAGAGAAAGCATGAGCAGGCACAGCGTCCAGATAGTAACTGAACCATTTCAATCTCGAGGCTTCGGGAGATTTCGCACCGGTCGGTACAGAGCTGGCTTATCATCATTGGAACCGAAGTCAGCGGGCGAAATACCAACAAGAAATGGCTATTGAGTGGAGCAGGCGACATCATCGGTTCGTGGCGTCATAGTCTCCAAGGGAACCTCATTCTCGCCTTTTCACACATCGCCCGTCACACTTCTTTCTTGGGACATCTCATTGAACCCTGTTGTTTAAAAAAGAAGATACGAATTCAGACCAGCCCGAGAAAGTCTTTTCTACCCCTCCCCCTTTTTTCTACTTTTATTTTTCACAACAACATTCTGTTTGAGCTTTGTTGTTCGAGTGCACACCGCTCCTTTTTTCCCCCACGCGATAACCCTCAATTACTCTGAAAGAACCCACCCCCGAGTGTGACGTACCCCGAGATTCCGCGGACGCCAAAACTTCGACTCGTGGCCAAAAATATTATTCCTCTTCTCCCGGGGACATCCTCTTTGTTTAGCTGCACTTCAGCAGACCCTGGAAGTACATCTACCTTTGGCACTGCTTCTACTTTCCACTTATAGGAATCATTCCTTGTGATCGTGATCCCAGCTGGTATCTTTCAATACGAACCAGCTGTCGTTCGCAACGCCACGAACGAGCCTAGCGTTGTCAATTATTGGCATCCTTGTGCTACCCCCTTTAGCCGGCAAACCAACAACAACCCCTGCTCCGATCCTCTTTTGCCCTAGTATTTTCTTTCGCCTCACCTGTCACTGAGCAACTTTTTCTCCCCTCCATCTTACATCCCCCCCCCCCCTTCGATGATGAGCTCTTCAAGCGCCCAACACCGCCGGAACCAGTCGCTTGACCCTTTTTCAGATCCCGACGTCTACTACGGAGGCGACGATGGCAAAGCGCGCATCAGGGATCGCAAACGAGCATTCTCATCGGTATGTACAACGGACTGAGTCAGATAAGCCCACAACAAGCGTGGCTGACCATTTCTCGATTTTTTCAATCACAGACTTTGAAGTCCTTCAACCGGGAAGACATTCAAGAGTTCCTGGGAGGCGGTTTTCCAGCGAGGAGAGCCAGTCACGGTACGTTCGAGAAAGAAGCATTTCTTGGCTGCACCAAGGTACTTTTGACTGACGCATCCTTGCCACAGATGAGACCCCGTCAAACGACCGCAAATTCCTTATCGATGTCGACAAAACACTGCACGATCTCCTGAAACGGGAAGACACGGATCAGAACATGCAGATCACCATCGAAGACGTCGGCCCAAAGGTAGGAGCGGATTCGTTGTGGGCTACGTTCGAATGAAAGCTGACATGGACGAAGGTCTTCTCCGTAGGAACAGCTGCATCATCGGGATACAACAGATTCGACTTGCGAGGCACCTACATGCTATCCAATCTTCTCCAGGAACTCACAATCGCCAAGGACTACGGTCGGAAGACTATTGTTCTGGACGAGGCTCGTCTGAGCGAGAACCCGGTCTCCCGCCTTTCCCGCCTTATCAAGAACTCATTCTGGACCGCCTTGACTCGGCGAATTGACGGCTCGAACATCGCCGAAGCGGGTAAGGACCCCAAGGATTGGACCGATGACCCTAGGCCTCGGATCTACATTCCTGTGGGGGCTCCTGAGCAGTATGAGTACTACAAGAAGATCGCAGAAGATTACCCCGAGCTTCGCCTGGATGTCCAGATGTTGGACGCCAACATCACACCCGATTACGTGAAGGACCTCAACAGCAAACCTGGAATGCTGGCCTTGGCGATGGACAAGACGGTTGACGAGGCTACCCAGAAGACCGAATACACCGGAGTTCCGTTCGTAGTGCCGGGAGGAAGATTCAACGAACTGTACGGCTGGGATAGTTACATGATCTCGCTCGGTTTACTGGTCAGCGACAGAGTTGACTTGGCCAAGGCCATGGTGATCAACTTCTGTTTCTGCATCAAGCACTACGCCAAGATTCTGAATGCTAACCGCTCCTACTACTTGATGCGCTCTCAGCCGCCATTCTTGACTGATATGGCACTGCGTGTGTACGAGCGGATCAAGCTGGAGCCCGACGCTATGGACTTCCTTCGAAATGCGACACTTGCTGCCATCAAGGAGTATTACAGCGTCTGGACTGCGGAGCCGCGGTTTGACCCGGTGTCGGGTCTTTCGAGGTATCGTCCTCAAGGCAGTGGTGTCCCTCCGGAGACGGAGCCGACTCACTTCTATCATATCCTTACTCCGTATGCTGAAAAGCACGGGATGTCTTTCGACGAGTTTGTCCAGGCCTACAACGAGCGCAGAGTCCTGGAGCCCGAGCTTGACGAGTATTTCTTGCATGATCGAGCCGTGCGGGAGTCTGGACATGATACCAGCTACCGTTTGGAGAAGGTCTGCGCTAACCTAGCCACGGTTGATCTTAACTCGCTCTTGTACAAATATGAAGTGGATATTGCGCGGGTAATTCGCACCTACTTCAAAGATAAGCTGGAGATCCCTCCTGAGTTCCGGACGGAGGCCACCAAGGACATCGCCTTTGAATCCTCGTCTGTGTGGGACCGTCGCGCCCGACGCAGAAAGATGCGCATGGACACCTATCTTTGGGACGAGGAGAAAGGCATGTACTTCGATTATGACACTGCCAAGCAAGAACGAACGAACTACGAGAGTGCCACCACCTACTGGGCGATGTGGGCCGGTCTCGCGACGCCGCAGCAAGCGTCTCAAATGGTCAAGGCTCTCCACCGATTCGAAGCGTATGGTGGCCTGGTGTCAGGAACCGAGGAGTCGCGGGGCGTCGTCGGTTTGGATCGTCCCAACCGGCAGTGGGACTACCCCTATGGCTGGGCGCCTCAGCAGATGCTTGCTTGGACCGGACTGATCCGGTACGGTTACCAAGATGAAGCCGAACGGCTGACCTACAAGTGGCTGTATATGATCACCAAGGCCTTTGTGGATTTCAACGGGGTGGTGGTCGAGAAATACGATGTCACTCGACCCATTGACCCACATCGGGTGGATGCCGAGTACGGCAACCAAGGCGTGGATTTCAAGGGGGCTCCCCGTGAAGGGTAAGAATTCCCGAGTTGCATGGCACGAAGCTATTTTTCCCCTTGCGCGCCGGTCACTAACTTATTTGCATTAGATTTGGTTGGGTGAACGCCAGCTACGTTTACGGATTGGAGATCCTCAACGCCCATCAACGACGTGCTCTTGGAGCCATCACCCCTTACGAGACGTACAACAAGGCTGTCAGCGTGCAGGATGAAATCTTGTAAGCGCATTCACTTGACATGTCTTGGGTGATTTGTCACTGCCTCGTTACGAGATTTTGAAATTCTTTTATATTTCCCGACGATTTTGGGGTCGAACTTTGGAAACGTCCTTTCGTTCTGCGGTCTCGGCTTTTTGGACCTTGAAGACTTTTTAGATGGACTTGAAAAGCGGTGGGGATAGAGTACAATTGGTTTGCTATAGTTCTTTAAATAGTCGTTGTTTCTTGGGTAGTTGTGCGGTCATAGGACGCAGCAGAAGGGAGCTTGTTCAGATTTGGTGGAGGACCTTGAGGGTTTGCTTGGTGCTCTTTTCTTGCTTGTTTGAATGTTGGAGTTGATAGCCAGTCGTACTGAGTACGATGATGAGTGATGAGTTGAATTCAAGCCAGCGTTTATCTGTTTAATGTCTGTGAGCGATGAAAGGGGGGGAGGGAGTAACAAGTGGGCCATGGCTGTGGTTGTCAGGTCCGTGCAACGGAGAGTAGGGCTTCTTTTTTTCCCTTTAAAGTTCTGACTTTCGTATCAGTGTATCTCTTCATTTCCGAACGTGTCTTTTTATAACTTCTCTAACAGTCCATGCAGGAACCAGGCCGGTGCAACCCGCCAATGGCCATTGCTGAAGCTGTGCAGGAAAAAAATCAGGAGGGGATGAAGCGTGGTCTCAATCAGTGCACTGTGAACACTGAAAAGTAGGCTAAACATTAGCCTAAACATTAGTGTAGTTAGACTGTGGTAGACTGTTACTTTGTTCGACTTTTGGCCGAAGCTAAGCAGTTGACAGAATCCACCGAGGTGTTCATTTCACAAGGGAACATGATTAGAGACGGGCTGCCGACCAGCCGCGGTCTGTACAGAAGCGGGGGAGTGGATGGAGTGGAAGGAAAGAGAGGGAGAGGAGGAGCTGGAGGGAAAATGCCCCGAACCCGGCTTGGTTTTGGACCCGCATGTGCTTTCATCAACACTCCATCCATCCTTTCCTGTTCTATGGATCTGGTGAGTCCCGGGCTCTCTTGTCGGCGCAATTCCTCCATCCGGTCTCTTCCATGGTCTGCCACACCATGACGATCATTTTCACTCCTCCTACTCGTAATTTAAGCCCGGGATGATTGCCTGCCTTTGTCGCTCATCTCCCCCCCCCCTACTTCTATTTCTACTTGGTTCACCTCCGCCGGCCTTTTCTACCCCTCCGTCCCCTCCATCCCTCTCCCCGTCCCTCCTCTCCTCCTCCCAAGCTTTCCTTGGTTTAGCCATTCAACAATCGCAACAATGGGCGCAATAGAGATCCCTCCTTTCGAGAATACTCCGATCGAGGAGATTCAGTCCCGTGTCTCGACGGTGCGCCAGACTTTCAATGCACACAAGACCCGCGATGTGGAGTACCGGCTGGTCCAACTCCGCAAGCTATACTGGGCGTGAGTTCTATTCCCTTCATTTTCCCCGGCGCAGAAGCAAAAGAGGTATGGACTATGGAAGCCATAATGCTAATCCTTGCCCTTGGCAATAGTGTGAAAGATCATCTAGAGGAAATGCGCGAGGCGCTCCGACGGGACCTCAACCGACCGGATTTCGAGACCGAGCTCGGCGACACTAACTGGGTCCTGAACGACATCGTTTTCGTGTGTCGCAATCTGCAGAAATGGGTCAAAGATGAGAAGGCGGAGAATATCGATATCACGTTCAAATTCGTGAGCCCGAAGATTCGGAAGGATCCTCTGGGCTGTGTTTTGGTTATTGGGTATGTGGGCCTGCCTTGCCTAGCCTTGCCTGCTGCCGCTCACTATCTTGGTTTGCCGGGGAAGAGGAAGTTCGGAATAAGCTAATTGTGGATGGATTATAGGCCGTTCAACTACCCGTTCCAGTTGACTCTGGGTCCGGTGATTGGTGCTATCGCCGCCGGTTGCACAGTGGTGGTCAAGCCTAGTGAAAAGTCCTCCCACAGCGCATCGGTGATCCAGCGGATCATCGAGGCGGCGCTCGATCCGGAGGCTTACACCGTGGTGCAGGGAGGAGTCCCGGAGACTCAGGCGCTCCTTGCGGAGCGGTGGGATAAGATCTTCTTCACCGGGAGTGCGAATGTCGGCCGAATCATCTGCAAGGCAGCTGCGCCCCATATGACCCCCGTCGTGCTGGAGCTGGGCGGTCGCAACCCCGCGATCATTTCTAAGAATGCTGATCCCAAGCTGGTGGCGCGTCGCATGCTGTGGGGAAAGGTCACAAATGCCGGACAGATCTGTACGTCGCAGAATTATATGCTCGTGGAGAAACCCATCCTGCCCGCGGTGGTGGATGAGTTTAAGAAGGCGTACAGCGAGTTCTTCCCGCATGGAGCCAAGACCTCCCCCGACCTCAGTCGCATCATCGATGATGCTTCGTTCCAGCGAATCAAGAGGATGATCGATAACACCAAGGGCAAGATCCTTCTTGGAGGAACGATGGATGAGAAAGAGCGCTTCATCGAGCCCACGCTCATTCAGATTGACTCGGTCGATGACTCCCTGGTCGCCGAGGAGAGCTTCGGTCCCCTGTTGACCATTCTCCCCGTCGATAGCATCGACGAGGCGATTGAGATCGCCAACGGCGTGCAGTCTACGCCTTTGGCTCTCTACCCATTCGGCACCAAGGCCGAAGCCGAGAAGAGTATGTGATCTTCTTCCTTTCTTTCCCGGGGATTACCCAGTCACACAAGTTAACCTCTCTTTCGAATAGTTCTCTCCCAGACCCGCTCCGGAGGTGTCTCCATCAACGACGCCGCGCTGCACATCCCCACTCTCGAATTCGGCGGTGTGGGCGAGAGTGGCAGCGGCTCCTACCGTGGCAAGGCCAGCTTCGACGTCTTCGTACACCGCCGCACCATCACCACCAGCCCGGGCTGGATCGAATCCGCGCTGGCCGTCCGCTACCCACCCTTCGGCAAGAAGCAGGAATTCTTCATAAAGGCTGGTAGCCTGACGCCGGACTTTGATCGCAACGGAGAGAAGCTCCGACTCGGCTGGCTCCGCTATTTCTTCACTCTCGGCGGTGGATCTGTCAAGTCCGGCGTTACTCGTGCCACCATTGTCGCTGCGGGTGAGTGATATTCTCCTTACTTCTCTTCCCCACTTGTCAGTGTTGTCATTTTGGATTTGTTGCCCCATGCACCATCCCGGTTCGCACGCAGGCTTCTTACTGTCCGCATCTCCATCGGCAGAATAAGGGTCGACTCGTAAACTCCCGAGTTTGCATCGGAATCGAACCGCTACTATCGGCCTGCGTACATTGACCTGGCATGTTCGATCCTAACCCTCTCGCCCTGGTGGTTTTCCGCATGCCCTTCTTAACCGGTGTCACATGATCTGATGCCTGCCTTAACCCCCTCATGACATCTATTGTTTAATTTTTAATCCTTTATCCACAACTCTGGACACTCTTGAACCACAAAAGAAAACACGGAAAATCCATCAAGCCATATATACTTACCATATACTATCTCCAGTGGCATACCTCGCACTCCAGCTCCTCGACCGCCGAGGTTCCAAGCTATGAATAAATCCCTCCGATGATTGCCAAAGTAACAATCAGATGTTTGATTTACTGAATAAGTCTTGGTTCGGTGCATTGATTTCTCGGATGACTCTTTTCTGATATTCGAATTTCTTTGGATTTTCCATCTGGCGCGTTTGTGCTTTGGTTTGTGCTTTTAAAGGGTTAGGGGTCCTATGTTTATGATTATGTATATTATAATTTGTACCCGACGGCATTTTGGGGGGCTGGGGGCTGTGTTATTTGCTGAAGGAAGAAGGGGATATATACCATTTAAGTCGGTGGTGGGGGTTACCTACCTATGTAGCTAGCAGGCTAGCTAGCCGGTGAGAGAAATTGGAAGTATGATCATGATTATTCCCGGCGTCTTGTTCAGAATGTAGGCGTCTACTTTATGAATCATTTTCTTATGAGTCACGCATCTACTGAAGAATAAGGGCCAAATTCCGGCGTGTTTGGTTTCAGTGGACTTGAATGTCTATTTATCATCATTGCATGCATGTCACGTCACATCTCCCTTCTCGTGTCAAGATAGTCAGTAGTGGTGGTCGTCAAGAGAAGCAAAAACCCGTAGAGTTGCACAAATAAAACCTAGGTATTGAGGCAGATGGTCTATGAGCCAGAAATTGGAAAGAGATGTCGGAAAAGACTTGAGATGTGACAGGGTTAAGCAAGAAGAAGATTGTGAGGGGATAGATGAGCAACCCGACCATATACAGTAACATGGTTGTCACAGGCTAGATATATTTTGAGATATAGAGAAGGTTATGTTGGGAGATGCCTGGAAGGTGCGTGATGTGTGATGTGCATCCACAGGGAGACGAGGGAGGAAGGGGGATGATGTCTGGCTCCGGGTTTTCACTAAACCCCGAAGCCTGAGACCCGCTAACACCTCCTCTCCACGCCCTTTTGGCTCACGCAGAGGTACTTCACCCCCTTGTATGGTTTGACGCCTTCGCCGAGCCCGCGGCTTTTCCGCGGGTCGATGTTGAGACTGTCGACTTTGAGACCGGAGGGGAGCCAGCCGCGCACGGAGAAGGAGACCGAGGCGGAGGTGGGCATGAGGATGGCATTGAGTTGGGTTTTGGTCTTTCGGGGGGCGGTGTGGAATATGTTGGCAGGCTGGCGGTCTTTGGAGGGTTTGGGGGAGGAGTTGTGGCGGGGCTTTTCTGGACGGACGTTGTAGGGTTCGGGTTCGGGTTCGGCGCCCGTTTCTGGGGTTGTATGTTGTGTTTCGCCTTCGGCTTCGGGGAGGAGTGTTGATGGTAGTGAGGGAGCTGGAGGGGCTGGAGTTGACGGCTGGGAGGGGTCGGAGGGGGGGCAGGGTTGGGGTTGTTCGGCATCCAGGAGGTTGTTGGGGTCGGCGGCAGGAGAAGCCGATGCTTCGGCGTCTGCTGCAGCCGCCGCGGCTGCGCGAGAGGATTTCTTGACGACCTTCTTCTTCTTCTTTTTCTTGGTCTTCCGTTTTGTGGTGCCCGTTTGCGGGTCCTGGTATGCCGTGGTTGGGTCATAGTAGCCTTGGAGAAGGTTGGCGTCCGCATCTTCCAGCTCGTCTTCGGCATCGTCCTCATCGTAATGACCAACCACGCTACACCGCAGGGTTGCGGTGCCGGAAACCGTACCGGCGTCTTTGGTCGGGACTCGCCATTCGAGTACCTCGCTCCCCGGAGAGTACAAGGCCTCTCCGCGGCTGGCTTGCATCTCTGTGATATTCCGGACCGACATGGGAATGGGGACTGTAACGACGACCTCTTCCAAGGCAGGCGCCGTGGAGTTCCCGCCACCTCCCAGGAACGAAGGGGTCGATGACCCCGACCCACTGCGCCCAACTCCGGGCCGGTTGACGGATGTATAGCCCGGAAAGTTGGTGTTCAGGATCAGGCGCACTTCGAACTCGGCGCCTGTTGGACCGAGAGACTTGCGAACATCCACGATAGCCGGCAGGAAAAGCTTCTCCATGTGGGTGGGAGGTTGGTCGAGGTTGGGGTCAAGCGGTAGGAGATCTACCTCATACCCGGCGAGAATGAAACGTCCGTCCGGTGGAACAAAACTGAGCTCCCCCGGCCGTTCCCGCCATCGCGCTAATCGCACACAGGGGTGGAAAACAGGAAGCTCCAGCTTCTGCCCCAAGGCTTTCTGGCCGCCGGGCGCCGTTAGGGAGAGAAGGAGATCTGGGACACCGGAGACCTTCGCAGTAAAGGCGATGGTGCCGGAGGCCAAAGCTGATAGCAAACGACCGGACGGAGCGATAGTGACCGACAAGGACTCGATTATGTCAACATATATCTCGTTCGAGGTATGACGAACACCGGATTTCCGCCAAGGTATCGCGGGACCTTGTGCTGCGGCGGCGGACGACAAAGATTGCTTCAATGCGTTGGGCTGGCCGAGGATTGGCGTGGATGAACTGTTTTGACAGGACCACAGAAGTTAGTATAATTGACTCAGAGCTGCCCCGTATGCGTAAGTGGCGGGGTTATCGACAAAGTATAGTTACTCACCCAGCCAACCCAACCCCGCCCAAGAGTTTCCCCATCCATCCTGGCATTTCCACCACCTCCTGCAACATATTGGGCTCGGTGTTGCACACGATGCCGCCATCGCACATCTCGTAAAGTAGCTGTGCGACCACATCGTAGTTGGCCTGTAGCTTGGTTGAGAGCAATGGCGCCCCAACAAACTCCTCGAGGACATCGACGACTCGATGTAGAAACTCTAGCACCAGCAGCGATTCCGAGTCAACCTCGGAGACTGCGAGGAAGGTGAGATTCGACTGGACGATGGAGAAGACGGTCACCGGTGGAACCGCACCGGGCAAGTACAGCACTGAGGGGCGAGGGGCCGCATGGGCGAGAAAGAGAGAGCGAATTACTGGTGCGGAGGGCGGACGGGAGCGGTAGACCTGTTCGACGATCGGATTGCTGGAGGACAGACGTCAGTAGATGGGGGAGAAGAAGTGGAGAGAAACAGACGTGTGCTCATCGTAAATATAAAGCGCATCGACTTGGCCGCTCATGATGGCGACCTAACTCGACGGGGCTGAGGAATGGGAGTGTGCGGTCATGGTCCGTCCGGGCGTGAAGGTCGGGGAAGGGAAATGAGGCCATCCGCCTCCAAATCGCCCGCGTTCTGCCGTCTACCTCCGCCTTATCGATCGGATGAATCCGATTGATAAGTTACCCGTCTCGGTCTCGGGGATTTCCATGCTCGATGGATTGAGCTTGTATACAGCAATTCAAGTTATCTATTTTCCTCCATTTATTCATAATTTCTTCCGGACTTCATACTTTCCTCCCCGCCCTCGCTCAACATGTCTTCCTCCTCGAATGAAACTGAGCGCTGGGATGTTCAGCCCAAGGATGCAAAGCGCATGCTCGCCGAAGAATCCTACGATGACTGTCTATCCTGCCGCATTACAGGTTGGTTTTAGTTTTCTCTCCGTCTGCCCCAACTCGCTTGAAAGCCCCGGTGGTTAAGCCTCAAGGAACACAGGATCTGCCGCATTTATCGGCCTCGGTGTCTACAGCTACTGGACGGGCATGAGCAACCTGAGGAAGCAAGAGAAGACAATTATGCAAAGCGCCACCAAGTACAAGATGGGATCTCGACGTCTCGGCATTGCGACTATTTCCGCAACCCTGGTCGGCATGGGCATCTGGAGGGCCTTCAACTAATACTCAAATTTGAAGTTTGTTTGTGATTTGTATTCTACTCAGGGCGTTGTGTATATTAGCTCGAATGATCGAAACTACTCCATGATTGAGAAGGGTCACTTGGGAATGAGTGCATGAAATGTTTATACGATTAGCATTGACACGAGCTGCCTCGCCGGGTATCGCCAAAGCCTGTCAACCTCTATAGATTGGATGATTATGAATCAAAAAGGAAGAGAAATGAGAGGTGGATAAAAGTGGATGTGAAGAAAGGAAACACAGTGAGGATAGGATGAGCGTGAAAACGGAAAGAAAGATAAATGACCGTGGCCTGAAGACCGCATGCAATACTCCCACAAATGCACCAGGATAAACAAAAAAAAAATGGATCAATGTACTAATAACCGCTGCGTAACCATAGGAATATGAACTTCGTCTAATCGTCGATACAATATTCTTTCAGGTGAAGCGGCCTCGCTTGCCGCCGCCAAACAGGTCTCGATTCCCAAGGCCGGACAAGTCGAAGAAATCCGGTACTGCGAGCTTGCGTTTCGAGCCAAGCCCGACGGAGGACTCGCGAGTGGATGATCGAGGGTTAGGTCGTGAGAAGTTGTTATGACGGGTTTGCTGCCGGGCATTTCGAGGCAGTACTGAGACGCTGACGGGCGCGCCGTCTTGAGACAAGGGTGTTGAACTATCCGAGGCTTGCATGTCCATATCTTGCTCTGGTGGGAAGGCTGGTCCGGCAGTGAAAGTAAAGATTGTAGGTCTGTCGAAGGTGCTAGGTTCGGACGACGGTGGGGAGGACGGGGGTGATGAAGCCTGGGGTGGCGGGGCGCTCGGCTCGTCGACCGCTGGAGATGCTGACTTGGATGCTTGTCGTGTCGACTCGGATTCGGGCT